ACAGTTGTTTAGTGCGTCACTGAAGAAAACCCATCTTGTGTGACGCTGAATAGCCAGTTTATCATGTAAAAATCACCAAGATTTTCCAGACTGTTCAGTCCTCTATTCTTTTTCCTATCAAATTTGATAAAAGAAAATACAGCTTCCTGTTACATTTAAAAGAAGGAGAAATGGAAAAGTATGAAGATAATTGCGTTGGATCATTACTGACTTGCCAGGATGACCATGTCCATTCCCCAGAAGATGCTCATGATCCATCCCACCATGATGACAGCCGTCAGTATCTGGATGAGGGCTGCTGCAACGTTGAGCCAGAACACGCAGCAGACGCCTCTCTGTGAGATCAGCTCGCAGCGAGCTCCGCACAGCACTGTGAAGGCTGAGATGAAAGTACCTGAAGGAGATAATTACAAAATCACCCTCTCACCTTAAAGAAAAGCATCACCGTTTATTGAAAAAGCATCATTAGCAGAAGGAGTTGGTGCAGTTTACCCTGTGATGCTTCCATCCCAACATGATCAAAGGCTTTGCCAGTAATTTTCCACTCTGGTTCATCTCCTGAAAAACTAACACCGGATACCAGAGTTCCCAGTAAAATAAACCAGAGCAGATATGCGTGTCTCCGATCAAAACATTTCACCTATAAGTTGTTGTACTTCAAAGTGTTTTCTTCAGCTAGGGATGGATGGATAAGCAGTTCCCCCCTGTTCTCCCTCATAGTTTACACAGACCCATCAGAAAAGGAACGTACAGCAAACAACTGTTAACTGTCAATTTTCTTTGCTCCACTGTTTGGAACCAATCCCCAACAATTCCTCCTGGCAGAAAATTCTACTTTAAATTGTTCCTGTAATTTCACAGAACACCCACACACCACTAAGTCCAAGCATCCAGACTCCTTCATGTCTGGGGATGAATGCACACACACACACATACACACACACACACACACACACACACACACACACACACACACACACACAAACACACACACACACACACGTGCACTCACATTGATATACTCATACAATCTGAGCATACCCCAACTCCATTTGCATCCAATGTATCAAATGGAGAAAAAACGGTGTACAGTTGCAGTCCTGGAGCTTAGACTGAATTTATCATAGTAAATGCACATTCTGATAGCGAGTTACACTTTCACGAATTTCTCATAAGATTACAATAGATTCCTGTATATTGGTTACAGTATATGAAAGTTACGTTTTATCTCCCTAACCTTACAATCTGTGGTTTAACCATATTTAATCAAGTTGAATGACAACTCACATTACATCGTGATGTATTTCATGAAAGTTTGAAGAACAGCTCTGACCTAAAATGTTAGCTCACAAAAAATCTAAGGTCTACACAGTGAGGCAGAGCATCCACTCAGGTAAAATTTTACATCCTCAACTCAACATTAAAGGGTAAACTGGAATAGGATCATCTCTGTGGACAATAGTGGTCTGCCTGAATTAAATTCAATATCACTGCTTATCCTGTTATCTGGGGACCTGGAGACCTTCTCATTCACCAGTTATTGTATAATAGACGCTCGGCGTGTGTGTTGCGCATGAGTCACGCGCAAGAGCACATTGAAGTCTCAGTTTGCACAAATGTATTTGCAATTACAATAGAATATATAATGTATATAAAAATGGGATTGCCCCTGTCTGTCCCTTTAATGGATGGAAAACATGTCCTTTTAGCTGTTCTCCAGCTTACTGGCATTTTCTTACTATTATTCTCAAAGCCCCCCACTCTTTAATTTAGTCGACATGATTCCATTCATCCATGTACAGTTGGAAATGACACTGAGGCTGCACTGCCACTGCAGTCAGGGGATTTGCAGTATCCCGGCAGTAGCCATTCATGCAAGTCATTTGTCAGATTTCACATTATATATATATATATACACTGTAAATCTAAGTCCTGCATGGACCTCGTCTTTTCAATGCTTGCTGGATAAGACCATGTAAATCATGTCATTGTCAAGCAGAAGACAAACAGCCCACACTGTTTGTCACTGTTCCACTTCAAAATCCAGCCCTCAATCCTTGTGGCAAACAGTCCGTTTATACTCAATGTAAACTCTTTTCCACTGGAACTGACATAGATTTGAAATCTTAGCACATTCAGTAACACACACTCTTCTGTGGTGTCCAGTTGTAGATTTTCCAATGAGCCACTGTCATTTACAGGTTACCAGAGTTACTGTGAGGTTCACCTACAATATATCACATCTTCTGTAGAGAACTAATTTACACTACAAGACGCATGTAAACATTGACATGCACATTTGCACAGACTTTTTTGGGCAGAATTATACTTGCTCTTTATTAAAGACTTATGAAAATATACTCCATATGTATTCATCATACGTGTAATATGGTGCTTAGACACTGACAAAGAAAATGATTTATACAGGTGACATCAACTCACATTTAATATAATTGTATATTATACATAACATTAATATGAAACATTTTTATTTGAAAGTCTTGTTTATTTAATTAGTTTAGATTGCATATAAACTTTAGTTTCATCAAAAGAAATGCTTTGACTGTCACTAAATCTCAGCTCATTCTCATAGCTGATGCCACAAGATTTCTGTCTGCTTTTACCGAAACTGAACTGGATACCGTCGGTTCTAAGTGTGGCACAAGAAATGCCTGGTGGACACTGCAAATCACAGCCTTGACACTTGTGTTTCTGTAAGCTCAGTTCCTTGTCACTTTGAGAGGATTCACATTTCAGAGTGATCTGAGCAGGTGGAGAGAGAGGCAGAAGCACAGGAACAGCCAAGGTGCCAATTTGAGATCTTGAGAGGAAGCAAAGGCCAACACCACTCATGTGCAAGTTTGTTTTTCTCACTTTTGTTCCCTCGGTTTGTACCCCCTTTCTTGATAAATTGAGGACGAGGTAAGTACAAAGACCTCCAATATTCATACACAGATGTAGCAGGTACACTCAGTTTCTCTCATGGAGCCTGACAAACTGGGAGCAAACCCCCCTCACGCCCTGCAATTTCAATAATTACCAGGGAAATATCAAATAAATATGAGATTCAAAGTAAATTTAACTTTTTTCCTTTTCAAGTAATTAGAAATAACTTCACATTAAATGAGCAGCAGTGGTTTAAAGTTAGATTCCAACCAGAGCCAGCATGATTTGATCAGACAGAGACATTTTCAGGTTGTGGGGGGCCACGCCCACGAGCAGATGCTCCGGCTGCTGGCAGAGCTGCCCACCACCAGACATGAGCCATGACTGACAGCAAACTAAATGGTTACGCATCACTTCCATCTGAGCTGCGCCGTGCTCAACCGGAATTCTCCGGTCTGCTTACTTTCTTCTGCGTTTCTTTCCTCTCAAGGTACTACTTACATATGTTGCCTTCCCTTAGCAGTTGGACCAAGCAGCTAATGCCGTGCAGCATGTTCAGTACACACTGGGGATGCAACCAATACTTATTCCCTTTGTGAATCGCTTTCCTTTTTTTTTCCAGAAAAAAGCCTCAGTGAGCAGTTACTACTTAATTCTCCACCAAACAAAATCGCCAAATGGTTAGAAATATTCATACTGCATGTGAGAAGAAGCTGTTTCAGAACTAAACTACAGAGGCTCAATAAATCGTATCTAAAGCAAGAAAAAAGCCTGATGTAACAGAAAGTTGCACTTCAGAGACAGTAAGAAAAAAGACGGGAAAACGTTCCAAAGATTTGAAAGGAAGAAAGAAAAAGATGTGTGATGTGCACAGTAAGTGACTTCATCTTAACTATATTTTGCTCTGCCATTTCAAAAGCATGATAAGTGTCTTTGTTTTCCATCAAATGAAGGAATTTGCTATCACTTTTTCAAACTTAAATTTCAACTTGAGATGTTTTGTTTTATCTGATTAGATCTGCTTCCATTATTTATTTTTCTCTGCAAAAAAATGTCAAGGAGGTGAAACTGTAAAATTATAGATCTGTATCTATCCGGAAAAAACAACAACATACACCTGTCTGTTTGTCACGTATAAATCTGCTGAAACTGAATTTTTACTGAACCTTTTCTTTTCTAACAGTTTGAATAAATCTTCCAATTCTCCACGAGGAAAATCTACTTTAACAATCCCAGTCATGTCAAAGGGTTTTGGATCATTATGTTCCTCGCATGTGGGATATTCTGCGGGTTCGCGTGTGTGCGTGTGTGTGTGTGTGTGTGTGTGTGTGTGTGCCTATGTATGTGTGCCTAGATATTAGCCAGACTTATTACTATAATTACACAGAGAACTCTACACGGCACCCACTGGTAGTGTGGGAGGTTAATGATGGAGTGTAAGAGTGTCAAAGACAAAGAGAGAAGCAGACATTTAGGGAGAGAAACACAAGGGGAGGAGGACACCGAACAAGAAATCAAAGCCTGCTCTAAGGTAGCTCTGTTCAAATGACTAAAAAAGCTTTGAATTTCTCATTTTACTCTTGCAAAAGATGCTTTAGTTGACAATAATTTGTTATCTAATACAGCTCCAACTCAGAACACTTCAAACTACTCATTCCACTCCACTTTTTAAACCTGTTCAGAATCTGACCTGCCCCTTTGTTGTGTTCTGTTTCATTTTGATGGGTCGGCTGACTGTGAACAGAACAAGGGCAATCAAACAGAGATAAAGGCATTTTGTAGAAATAAAAATAGAGACATTTCAATCCTATTACTATTATGTCCACTCACAAAAAGCTGTCAATACTCCTGTGTGTCACAGGCCCAGAAATGACCAGTTGGTGGCTCAAGCCAGCCAATTAGAATGACTGGTAAGATGGCACCATGGCTCCGTTTGTCAGCGCCGTGACTCCAGTGTTGCATCAGTTTCACTCATTCTCACACACAGACACAAGTATGTGCCACTTTTGTTTAAAAAAATGCACAAGTGATCTGAAAAGTAGTTAAAACTATATCTGAGAGTAAAAATACCTAAATCCTAAATGTAATGTTTGAACTGTGTCAAAAAATTCATAGGTGTCGTAGTCTGAGCATCTGACAAAAACCTCACACTAGAAACTGTGAAGCTCCCCTTTTTTCATAGGTAACACACCGGAAACTAAACGCTTTGCTTAACTTTGTGTGATTGTGAAAGGACAGAGACATGGCAACCACAAGCTGCCTTAGCCAAATCTGACATACAATTGACAGAAAATTTCAAGATACAATCCAACTTGATTCTATGAATGTAGGCCGGTCAATCCCGTAAAACAAAGCTAAAGCATCATGTGCTGATCCATAAAACATCCTGGGCTGAGTCTGCAGATTCGCTGCACCTGCACATGAACGTCTGCAGGAGATGGCGCTCAGCTCTGTTTTTTTGGCCAAATTCAATTACACATTCCCAATTTTTATTTTGGCTTCGGGTTGAATAGAACAAGACTTTGTTTTCACTCTCAGTCAATTAGAGCCAAATGGCTGTGACACACGTGTGCACATTTTAGTCATTGTTGTCATGGCAACTACCCGCAGCTATTCAATGAAATGTCAAGGCATTCAGGCAAATCTTCACACACACACTCATGCTTCTCCAAACACACTCAGACACACTGAGTTGAAGCGCTGCCTTGATGCTTGCCGCCTAGATTTTGTGGCAGCCCATTCAGATCTCACACAGCACACAGGTAGAGCGAGACCTTTGTTCAAAGGGGTGCTAACATTTTTGACTGAAATAGAGAAAGCAGCCAGTGGTTTTTTGACGGCCCATTCCTTTTTGCTCTTTGTGACATTTTCTGGCTGCCAATAACTCAACAAAGATAGGCCACAGTAAATTACAGCTGGGTGTGACTCAAAATCTTCAGATGGCCTAAAGAAATAATAGGAACAAGATGAAGCAGAGACACACACGTCTCCAGAAGGTAAACAGACTCATTGTTTGTTACTTGGTAAATCAAGTGCTATGGAAACATCAGTCACACTTTTCCATCATTGGGCCTTTATTTGTCCCTCCTATTTTCTTTTCATACACGGTTCTGTTATTTCCCACAGAATCCTCTCTACTCCCTTATTTACAGAATGTTCCAGTATTTCTAAAAATATACCGCGCCCCATGCTCTTGCTTTCGTGGCTTGCAGCTTTTACCCTGAATCGCTAATTTGTGTGGTAACTGAACTCCTTTAAATGCATTGATTCATTAATTGGTGTTAGTGTCAGTGGATGCAGTGCACAGTTCAGCATATGTGTGTTGTTAGTGTCAGTATTACTTTGGCCTTGAGGGCTTTTTTAGGAACAAAATGAGGATGAACATATCAATGAGGCTGGTGTTTCATGCCGAATGTGTACATCTATGCGTGTGGCATCAGCTGCCAGATATTATGTAATGAGTGACACATGCACACACACAGATATCCAAACAATCTGGAGGATGATGTGCAGGCAATTAGAAGGAAAAAGGGGAAAAGCAGGCAGAAAGATCCGTACAGTTGATAATGATCTGCATCTGGTTCCTATCTGTCCCAAAATACACAGGTCAGACAGTCATTTGTACTTTCAACAAATCCTCCCACTGATAATATCAAAGAAGTCATTTGTTCATACTGTTGAGAGAATCTGCTAGAGGGAAAAACAGTGAGCCTTTTGTTTGAGAAGCAAGTGTTGAAGACCAGCATATGACACTGCTTTTTTGCTTCCTGTTCCTGACAAAGGTTACTTTCATCATCCTCTAAAATGTTTACACATTAAAGGCAGTTGCAGTTGTGAAGTCAGCAGGTCAGACACAAAGCTTTGGAGTGTATTGGCGCTACTAAAATATGTTACTCAGTAGATATTTTAGGACTCCAAAACCAAAGGCAAAATACTATTTTACTAATACACTGCATGGTTCCATGCGTGACTTGGTGGTACTGTTTTTCTTCAGACTTTGGCCATCCATGTAATAACCAGGTTGATTTAGACAGTACATACTGCCCATTCACTTGATTTAGTGATCCTACAAATCTTATTGGTGCATATTCTTTTCCTCACACAGGTTTGAGCCCGCTAGGTTGTTGAACGTAAAAATGACTCTAAATGTGATCTTTAACAAACCCTCAACCAGTATTTGTGGTTTCTACACCTTACAAACAAGCTGCAGTGCCTATATCTACCCAGGGAGATCTGCTGCTGAACCAAAGCATGTAGCTGTCATTTTCAAACGAACAACAAGACGGGATGAGTAAAAATCTATTTTTGTCTATGGAGTTAGTATGTGCATTTGTGCCTCCAATTGAGGACTTCTTTAGTTTAACACTTAACAACATTGCTGGCTTTTCTTTGATAATACGGGTTAGAAAAGCCAGACAGTAATTAGAGTTTGTGCCTGCTGGCTGATTTATGTGAATGGAAAACACATTCTAGAGAGTGGTAAAACGACAACAGCAAGGGAAGCAATATCTATCTCAAGGTTATTGTTAATCAAGGTAGAGTCTAGGTTTTGTACCTATGACGTGACACAGACAATAAGTCTGCTCTGGGATTATTTTGGTTCCTCTAAGAATGATTTTCATGTCTATTCTGCCAGCATGCTAAAAGATCCAGCTGCCATGCATTAACACCTGGAAGACAGCTGTGGGAATTCACACCTGGACACTTTTTATTTAACATGAGGTGAGAAGAAGTCTTCCTTGGCCTGCATACACATGAGTGCAGGCACACATGAACATTTCTGTTTTTTCTTGAATACTTTTTCTTATAAAAAACCTTTCTCAGTTTCAATCTTTAGTCTCTTTAGTCATTTAGTTGGACACGTCTGAGTGTGTCAAACTCAAGCCTGCAGGTCTTTCAGTTTCACAGTCATTCATTTTCATTGCACAGTTTTCACATGCTCTCCAACACCTTTTCTGTCTTTGATTATTCACTTCGCTATACTAATTTCCCAGTAAGGCACAGAAATTAAAACATGCATGCAGGTTGAAAACTTGATGACTGAGACTGAAAGGGCGTACTTTACAGAGGCCAGAAAAAAACTATTTTAAAGAAAGTTAAGTTCATTTTTAGGTTTTTCCTTTTGTGTGAGTATTTCAACACTCCAGCAAGTTTTACGAAGTTATGAGCAACAGTTTTTTGAATAATCTAGGTGAAAAGTAGACAATCTCGTGTCACAGTCTCAGGTCTCTCCTTAATTTAAGGAACTACTGACACAGAAAACAGGGACAGTAGCATTTTTGACTCACCAAGTCCAGGTATGAAAGTGTTCAAGAAGAGACAGATGACAGCCAAAGGGAAAGGCATTGTGGGTATTGCAGCCCGCAGAGGTCCCTTCTTCTCTCTGACCTCCACCACCACGCCTCCACCTGCTGTACTCCCGACCATTGCCTTGGCCCCTAAACTGTCGTCTGCTTTAATACGGCCCTGCTCGGATCCTCCCTGTTTCTGTGCCATCTGTGTTCCTCTCCTTTCTTACTCTGTCTACTATGTCTTCAAACTAAAAAGCAGGTTTTGGGATGCAGATTAAACTCCTCAGAACAAGATTGTGCGAGAGCCAAAAAACACCTGATCAGTGATAGCAAAAAGGATTAGCTGATATTCAACGTTTCTTATGAGCAGATGGTATTGCATCACAGCCAGTAAGATTAAAGTAAAACGGTCAAATTGTCCACAAAGCAGCAACTTCTTTCTTGGGGAGAATTTTTTAAAAATTCTACTTGAAATAGACTTGAATTTATCCTATGAGTATTGTGATGGCTTAAACATTTACAGAAGTGAAGCAATGGTCTCGGGATGCAATTATCCTCAAGATTTCATAGGAGAGATGCTGATAGATCTGTTTCGTCCTGTTTGTACTTTGAGACTTTGAAACTGTTCCTCACTTATGTCCCTTTAAGTCCATGAAAATAACTCCAGTGTCAGAGGTCATTTGATCCCAGGTGCGTCATGCTGTTGAGGGATTATTCCTCCTTGATCTTGCTCGAGTGCTGGAAAAATCGTGGAAAGATGTGTAGTTCTCTCTGTTTTTCTTTCTGTCTACACACCTCTCTACCGAGACTGTAAAGTGAACACAACAAGCCCCCTTTTTTTCTACTACATCTCTCTCTCTCTTTTCCCTCTGCTCCTCCCTCTCATCCCTCCATTTAAAGGGACAGCACAATAATCTCTCTCTTCACATTCAACAAGATGTTATTCAGAATATCTAGGTGGCTCCAGTCAATTCAGCTAATGCATCCCAACAATAGCTGGCCGCAGGTTGATGATAACACAGTATAATGATGTTTGCCTGTTTAGTACATTCATAGATCCACAAGAGATTTTCTAAAAGCAAACAGGAGATAATAGGGGAGGAGAACAAATGCAATCGAAATGCTACTAGCTTGCAATCATACATTTATTATAGCTGATGCAAACAGTTCTAGTCGTCACTATCAAACTCTATGCTCTGATCTGGTTGATTTAAGAAAGAAAGAGAGAATAAATGTATATCAATGAGCAAATGAAAGGGAAAATTTGCAACAGAAAGGCTGAGACGATAGATGACGGAAAATCATTTAGAGGTGAGAAGGAAGAAACAACTGATGTCAGAGTCTTAGTAATTATTTATCCATTCACCATACATATGAGAAGTATGTTTCTATTTCTTTACCGCGTCTTCCATCAGAGTCATAATCATCTCTGTCTTTCATTTGTTTCCCTCTTTATTCACCTCCCCCTCCTACTCTTCATCCCTCCAAACTGTCATCTTGAGCTCCCTTCAAACAAAAGTACCAGAGATACAGTGCAAATCGGCGCAACCCCGAAATTAATCCCAGCTTTTGCGTTAGTCTCTCTGTCCATTTCATCGTCGCCGTCTCTTTCCCCCTCTCTCATCTCTGTTTTGTTTCCTAGCAACCAAGAAAGCTGTAGGTAATTATACAGGAGATATCGATCTATAGTTTTTTGGTCCCTTCTCTGTCTCCCTCCTTCCTATTTTCCTTTTTCTTCTTCATACCTCCAGTGATTTTTGTTTCCATCCCCCCTTTTAATTTTCTTTTTGTCTTTGAAACACATATGTTTGAGGCTCCCACAGAGGGTGGTTTTACTCTCCTTTTTGTTTTTACGCTGAGCAGCCTTATCGTGTGGACAGCTGAATTCAATCACCATTTGATTGTTCGGCCAAAGGCATGCAGTGTATGCGCTGATGCTTATTACCATGACAATGTGACATCTAAAAGTAAAACAGGAATTCTCGTAAAGTCCCATTAAAGCTTTGAGTTACTGGAGAAATTCAGAAACATACCTGCTGGCATGATGATGAGTTACAACAATTAGACGAGTGAGTTATGGCCTAATCACCCTGCACGCATGTTAATGACCCTGTTAACGTGTGAGCTTGGTCTCTTTGATTTTTTCATCTCTTTGACTCTGTCTTAATCCTATCACTGCAATGAACGCACACACCAGTTCTCACAAGGCTTAATTTATGTTCATCCCATCTGTCAGAAAAAGCTGACATCACACACCGGTTATTCAAACATGTATGTGTCTTCTTCTGGGTTCTGCATCCATGCATTTAGGTGCACTCCTCATCATGCTTCTCACTTTTGAGAGGCCCCTTTGTCATCATGCATTCACAAATACCATCATGTGGTTGTCAAACCTTAGTAATCATTCTTGTGTTGACAGGGAAAAGCAGGATTGCAACCTTAAGTAAACACATTTTCTATACTTCATGTGCATTAAAATAACATTGTAGATAAGGAAGGGAAATTGATCTATGCCCATCCCTGGTCTAGCCAGGTCATTTTTTAGTCGAGTATTTTCATGAGTATACATACATTATTAAGGCAATTCTTTGCTATTTACATAATATGTTTCAATCACTATCTTTTCCAGCATGTTGATGCTATTCATATCTAATGTAATCTTTGAGTGTTAGTAGCAGTGGGTTATTGTTTTTATATATACTTCCATATATATGTTTGTCAGACCACATACTGTATTTAGATTTATGTTGTTGTCAACAGTGTCTGAGAGAAAAACGATTGATTTTTGCTTTACCATTGTGTTCCTCAGAAAATGCGTGTATTTGTGGTGTTCTGCTACCTCTCAGCAGCCTGTTCCCTTCTCTGACCTCCCCAAGTGCTGTCTTTGTTGTCGACATCATCTTGTTATTGGAGTGCTGAGACCTGCTTTCCCGTAACCCACTATTTTAAGATAGAAAACACAATAATATAGACCAGAAAGAGTATGTATCAAGTATTTCTAAGGCCACAGATGCCTGGCTGTGGGAACATGCCCTTGGTTGTGGTGTCTCTGTACTTTAAGTTGTGCTTTAACTGGAAGTTATTTGTCAGGTTTACCTTTGCCAGATTGCCTCTGATGTTTCTGGGGAATGTTTTCTTTCTTGACTGGATCTGAGCTGAGTTCGCCTATTGCCTATCATGCCCTCCGACAGAGAATACATTTCCAAAATATCAGCCAACAACATGACTCTTAGTCTCCCTAAGAAAGACGATAAAAAAAATCATGCATTATAATCATCCAGAAAAAAATATAAATGAGGAAATTTTTGAGCAACATACAAAAAAAGTAGTCTGCTGTAGGTCTGTGGCCTATTTCTTCTTGTTCCCATTTTAACCAACATTACAAGATAGATATATTTTAACGTTAAACGTTTAAACCATTGTCACTCATGATGAGTTATTTTCTCCTTATTGGTTTGGCTTGTGTCTGGGGTGCTGTTTCTGTTCAGAAAGCTTCCGTCCTCCTGACTGCGTCTATGGGCGCGGGACCCTCGCGCGGGCTCGTTCACACATAATTAACAGGCATTCCTCGCGCCTCCGGGCCCATTGACGTCAGTGGATTGCAGCCTCAGACGTACATGACCAAGAGGCGGAAAGGCCAACATGTCGCCAGGAGCAGATGCTTTTCGCCCGTGGGGGCTGGGCTACAGGACTTCATGCAAACTTTTACGGGTGGCTTATTGGTTAAAAATAGAAAAATGACTGATATGTCGTCTTCTAAGCAGCTGAAATTAAGCAATAACAGATAGAGACTTGTTGAACTTACAAGATAAAACGTTTAGTATAATCAGCTGCTCTCGAAAGTTAGCTTGTTTAAGGTTAGCTAGCATCATGTGCATAACACCCATAAATCTGCGACCTTATCGGCTGAAAAAACCCTCAGGAAAAGTTTAAGAAAAGTGAATTATGTCCGCAGGGCCCTGGATGAGAAAATGGAGAAATGAAGTGATGGCAGCGCCATAACCAATCAGCAGGAGTCGCCATTTTTAAAAGGTAAATTTAAAGGCGCATTGATACATAATGGAAAATGTGGCTCAGAAGTCCTTTCTTAAGCTCTTTTTTATATACCTACACATGTTATACACATCTTTGGAAAACTACTGATGATGTATGCAAATACAAACATAACTGTGGACAGTGACAATTTCTGTCAGACCAGTCACCAATTCAAAAACTTCTGTAATTTACTTATAAAAAACAGTATTCCAAAAGACACAACTCCTGTAAAAATGGTTCTGCTAGGTTTGCAATGGTCCATGTAATGACCCCGAGTACATAGTTAGTTCACAGTCAGACGTCCACAAAAAACACAACCTTTTTCTTTTGCTGCGAACCTTTAAGATTTTGCCAGACATGTGTATTTTCCACATATTCTATATACTTCAGTTAGCATGCAGATACTGGCCGCATGGTTGACTTCTGATTTGCTCCAATGAATAACTGTTTACCCCGTCTGCTGTGGCACACTAGTCAGCTCTTTGTGTTGTTTTCGATCTCCAAAACCTTAGTTTCTCTGAAAGCATAGATTGTCTACATGTGACACTTAAATCAGATGTAATCACATTAGTGTAAAATCACATGAGTGCATTTATTCATATATTTTTATTGCATGTGCATAAGAGTTTAGTAATGCGTGTGAGAGAGTATGATGTGTGAGAGAATGCAGCAACAGAGAGTATCATGGTGTGAGTATGGTGGTGTATGTGAGAATGTATGAGAGTATGTGTGAGTGAGTATGATATTGTATGTGAGGCCAAGTTTGAATAAAACTTGCGGGCCTCTTATAATTTATGTTGATCCAATCTGTCAGGAAAAGCTGACATCACACACCGGTTATTTATATATGTGTGTTCTGCTCTCATCTGACTGGATCACCACGGAGACTGTCGCCTTCACAGACTCTCCTCTCTCCCCTTTCATATCCACCTCGTGGCTGACTCTTGCTGGCTTTTAATGTATCTCTCTTTTTCCTTTTCTTCATTCACACCGCATGAATTCCCCCTATTCAACTGTTTGACTGTGGAGTGTTTTTTATTCAGCCTCTAATGAACAAACATTCTTTTGTTGTGAGGAAAAAGCAGCAGAGGGACCCTCCGTGACGATGAGTGTATTGTGTGTGCTCACTGCCACTGCTGGTTTTGTCAGCCCAGAGGTCTCTGACTTGCTATTTTTGAGGCTCCATTTATCTTCACGTGTGTTTGTGTCTCACAATGTGCTGAACGAGACCAAATATATATTGGTGAGCAGAACTAAATGTGTATTATCACTGCAAGTTAACACAGAAAGTCTAAAAGGCAAAACATGTTGATCTCTACAATGAACCTTCACTCAAAAGAGCGAGTAATTCAGCAGGTTTGAGTTGTTGTTTTTTGTCTTACTTCTCCTCACAAAACTAGATTTTTAATGTCCTTTTTATGGTAAAAGATGAAGCCAAAGGATGGAGAAATGTCAAACAGCAGAGCTTTGGTGCACTTGTTAATTATTCATGAATTTGATATGAATTTAACTGAATGTGTTTATGCAGACATATCACTAGCTTATCATGAAAAACTATGCTTAATTTTTAATAGTGTTTCAAACAGGAAAAATTATCATTCTGTGATTGACAGCCATGAATATTCACAATTTGTCAAAAGGTTACTTTTCTGCACAATGACTGCTTGCATTACACTGACCATGCCTCTGAACTTTAAATCATGTCAGATGAGGAAGTTTTACCTCTACCAGAACACTTTTAAACACATACATTTTCTTCTCACTTCTCACACGTCTCCATGTTCATTTCACCAGTTGCTGTGGTTTGACCTCATACTGCTTGCTTCCACCATGTCCTAATTTTCTTCTGCCACAGGTTGGTCATGCTGTCTGGTGGCTTGGTTTTATGTAAATGCAATAGGACATCTCCATGACTCCCCTCTTGGTCTAATTAATGTGCTTACTCATCGCAGCAGTCCAACATGACAATAGTCCCATCAGCTGTGGCTTTGACATAAAATTAATTAACAGCTCACTCTCCTGTACCATCTGACACGATGGACTTCAGTATGTTTAGAAAAACATCATCACGGTTTAAAAAAAAAAAAAAAAAGAGGCACTCAACCAGTCCATCTCTCTCCTATTTTCATCCTAATTACTATGTAAATCTATGCAGCAGGTCCTCCAAAGTCTAATCAGCCCATCTCATCCAATGTGCTTCCCATGGTGTCAATAAAGCTTCTTTGTGAGCAAATGCAGAGATATCCCACAGTTACGCCCACAAAGCTGTGCATGTATTCATACATATGAAGTAACACTTAGGGTGGCAGGATAGAAATATGAAGAAATGGGTCTGGAACTGATCAGAAATAGTCATGATGGTGATGTCACCGCACAGACGTCAAATGAAATGCAACTACTGCCAATACGAGTTTTTCAGGTCAGGCTATTTTCAAATGTTAGAGAATAATAAGGTTACTGGTGGTAAACTTCACAACCTTTTTTTCTGTTTCCCACAGTGCATTCTATTTAGCATTGAGCACAGACTTCAGCAACATAGTGGGGTTTGAGGTCAGATTTGCCCTGGTAACCAGCTCTCACTGAGGCTGAAAGCCTCATTACGAGAGCTCATCGAGCTCCTGTTGTCAGGAGTGCACTTGTAAATTAAATTAAACAATTCTCATTTTGCTGCAGCCCACTTGGAGAGAGATAAACCTGACCTATGAGACTGCTGTTAAACAAAACTGGAGAATGCTCGGAGAGAGGTGAGAGCGACACCTGCTGGGCACAAAGGTGCTTCAGATGCCAAAACACAAAGAGAGTAAAGACTACTTAGGTCACCCGTCTGAATGAAAAAATCATTAATAAATAAGATAGATGTATAATAATTGATACACATCAACAATTTCCCATGGACTCCAGCTTTTTCCCACCCTCCAAAAACATGTATGTTAGGTTAATTGGACTCTACATTGCCCCTAGAAGTGACTTTGAGTGTGTGTGGGCCTGCGATCGACTGGCGGCCTGTCCAGGGTGTACCCCACCTCTCGCCTGTGTTAGCACGACCCCATTGGGAACAAGCAGTATAGAAAATGGATGGATGGAAAGTTCACGTGGTTGTATTTAATTAGAAACCACATCAGCTTTGAGGCTCTGCTCTACCTGCAGACATATACAGATATAGATATATTTATGTGCTTTTTTTATCTGACTTGTTGAATGAAAAATAAATTTCAGCACAAGATTCGATACAAAATAGCTTTTTATTCTGATAAAAAACATGGACAGAATCCAAAGAAAGACAATTAGCTTTAGAAGTATCAGTCTGCATTGATGATTTGAGAGGAAAATATTTTGTGGGAACGTAGAGAGAGCTGTAGGTACGTCTCTGCAGCTCTTCTGCTTGGCTCAGGAAGTTTTAAAAATTCTGGTACATGTATTCAAGATCACTCAGATGCCCTTGTGCTGGATCTGGTCGCTCTCTTATAAGTTGTCTTCTCTTTGGCCTCAATAAGGTCCCTCACCCACTTTTGATTTGGGTCAGCACAGATTTCATTGCCCCTCCTCATGATAAAGCTGAAACAAAGATAGAATAACATATTCAATTTACTACTAAATAATTTTTTTATCTCAATGTACATTTGATGCCATTTATTGAATCCACGTCTTTACATGTTAACTAATTTCATTTTTTTCTAACATATATAGACATAGAACATGAGTGATTCTTTTAATTGAACCTGTAATTCGGATGTTTGCAAAGAGGACACGAGACACTTACAGCACACCTTCCATCGAACACAACTTGTCAGTGAATTTGAAGCTCACCACCCCTTTCTTAGGTAGCTGTTGGGTGTAGAACTTAAAGCAGCATTTATCCGGTCCAAACGTATCTGAAATTATGATGGATACAGACGTTAAGTTGGCGTTCACCTTACAACGTACACAATTTTTATAATGCATCTGATTCGGTAATACAGGAAATTGTCAGTGAGGATTGTCGATATTTGAAAGAAAAAGCAGAATGTCCATTAATGTTCTATATTTTTTGATATATTGAGAATGTTTTTAACATTTCTTCTGTTTATGAGTTACAAAAACACTTAATTGATGCCAGAACAGACTTTGGATAAAAGACTATAGAAACAGACCAGTTGTTTACAATGAAAAATAAAATGGAAGTGTTAAATTAGCTTACTGTCAGATGCCAGGACAGTGAGGGATGAGAAAAGCAAGATGCAGGCCACCAGAGCCATGGGGTTCTTCATCATCATCGTCGTCATCTTGTTTGCTTCGATTGTCTCTTTGCAGGTTGCCTGTCCAGCTTGGAGTCGTCTCTGTCTGCTTCCCTCAGAGCCCCTCCACTTATATGCTGAACCTCCAAAAAGTGTGTGTGTTGCAAAACAAGTTCCATGACGAACAACTGAAACTAACTAGTCTTCAAATCACCTGCGGTCATGTGGTCAACGCTTCTCAAAAGAAGGAAACAAGAGTAAGGGGCGCAGGGACACATGGGCTTGTCGGTGAGACAAAATTCTCTGAAACTATACCACACCACATCGATACCTCCGTACCTTTGTGAGAGTGTATGTATGTATGTGTTCATTTTGTGCATGAGCATCTGCATGCAGTGTGCAGATGCATTGTGGCTGAATGCTCCTCTCCCTGTCACTACCTACGTATGTTTGTTTGAGGTAATGATTTAAAACATGAAACATTTGTGAAAAGGTGCGTAAAACAGTCCAATAAAGAACTGGTCTTTTAACCTCATCCAAGAGGTCTTAAAACCACAGTCACCTGCTTGTGATTGTTGTTTATCACCACAGGTGATTACTTTTGACAGTCCTCGCAATATAGAGCGCACTGCTTTTTAGGGTATTTCTGAATATGAGGGGATTTCAGAAATGAGATAGTAACGTGGCAGGACTGAGACTCACTCATGCATAGTGGAGCATTGATTTAATTGCTTAAGTTGCTACATTAATTTGCCACTACAGAGTCTGTCATTACAATTTTTGCGGGAAAGATGAAGATATTGTAGTTCTTGGTCAGGACGTCGGACAGGTGGACAGAGACCTCTGTGACTAATCCTAAAATTAAATTATACTTCTGTTTGATTTTATTACACTAAATAAATACTTCCTTCCCAACAAAATACTCCAATGCAGAACTTACTATAACAGCAAAATAGTTAATTACAAGTCCAACTCCAGCACTTATCTGCCTCCAATAATAAATAGACAATCTATGACATTATATTGGCCTTAAGCCTCCAGTACCATTGATACGAGAGGGATGCCATGCTTTCTCAAAATAGCACTGCTGTACATGTTTTTCTAAAGACCTTCCTGCGTTTTCATTTATTGGTTGTCTGCAGCTTGAAGCTGGTTGAACAAGCTTGAAAAATATATATTTACTTCTGTTGATATTTTGCATCTGTCTCAGGTTGTAAGTGGTCAAAGCAGACATCATCAGTCGACATGTGATGGATAATATTGCTGACAAAATGCCTTGTAAAGCATATACAGCATCATGTTGAATGTGAGCAAGGTAAAAAAAAAATGTTGATCGCAGTTGGGAGTTTAAGCTTGAATCAATCACTCTTGAGGAGAAAAATACATTACAGTTCATGACTTACTTTGAGATTATTTATTTATCGTTATAAGTAATCATAAAGCGCTTCATTAGTCCGCTCTCTGTATGACTGTATTCACCTGACGACCGCCTCAATGCTGATTATTGGGAAGAGGTGAAAAATTTAAATGCGCTTAAATGTAAAAATGCCTCCCTCGCAGTTTTGAGGTTCTGTCCCCGCAACTGCTCACATTATGCAGGCCTCAGCAAAAGTGGAAAAACTCGATTCTGAGAGATGAAGCCAAACAAGGTAATTGTTTTACTTACGGTTTAACTTTATATTATTTGTTAAGCTGAATTCACGATCCCAAACCATAATAGACCTGGCAACACTTGCAGGCGCCATAACAACCACGTGTGATAACGCAAAGCCTCAGTCTGCCCTGTTTGAACCGCTGCCTACGATTGTTCAGCAGAGCAGCCTGAGCTGTCAATCTCCCTGAATAATACTTCAGAAAGAGTGTCTTCTTGTGTAGCAACAAGAATTGTTTGACTTTTTTCATATAAGACACCAAATAAGACGCCAAACTCTAAACTTTCAGTGGTTAACACCTGACCCACACAAGTTCTTCAGAAGGTGACATCTTTTCACCGTGAGTGAGGATTTAATTTACCGTACATTGGACAGAGAGCCAAGTTATTTATAAAAATAACAAATCATTCATTGGTAGAGCAGCACACAAAGGACAATGCTTCAACTATTTTGGCCTCATTAATTCAAATATTTTTGATGAATGTCTTCCAACAGTGAAGAACAAATGTATGTATTTGCTCATTAAGAGCAAGTTTAACCATTATTTACATAAAATATGATGCAAAAGCATTTAGCGTTTTAGCTTATTGTTACATTAGAGTAGATAATTTATCATGGCAGATACCAGAACTTCTACTTTATAATTTACACACTGAACAAGCTGTATCAAGAGAGCTTTTTATGTAAACCAACCTCCACACTTACTAAAGAAAGTCATTTCACATACACGCTTACCTAACTTGTACATGTGACATTTTGTCATGCAGAAAAAGTAATTATTTTGTGCTTTATTGCTAATCACAAAGTCATAAATGCCACCCAAAGGCATGTTAGACACATGTAAAAAAAAAACCCAGAAGCTGACTTCAACAGAAATTCTCTATCTGAGTCAAACTGAAACCTGTGGTGTGAAAGAGAGGCAGGGGTACAATGCAATATAAATGCACAAGCATGGTTTGTGCAAAAAAAATCTCCTTGCATGTGGAAATTTCTCTTATACTCATCCAACACAGTGATTTTTGAATAAACTTATTGTTTACTCAGATATAGATCTGATATGGCATAGATTCAACTCCACAAGCTGTTGCACTGAAAAATACACAACTCGATTGTAACTGTAATCAGTGGAAAACAAAAATGAACAAAAGTATTTGCGAGATAATACTGCCAAAGAAGTTGGGTAATTTTCAAACAGTGTGGTTTCGGCTCCTGACCAGACCACTACTTAGAAAATGTAGCAAAAATACATGCATGACATCACAGGTGAACTGAGGTTTTGTGGAAAGTGTGAAACGGAAAGTCTGCTCCGGGGTTTAGTGGGAGGGGACAGTGGTACTTGTCAGAATCACAGATCAGCAAATTAAAACCACAAACTTACCCATCGCACCCTCTAACCTACACTTTTCTGATAATGTCAACCATCAGATAGATTGAGGTATATATTCTGAGAACAGATTCCACAGAGAAAGTCCAATTAAGTTATGTTGGTTTACTGTATATTACATATACAGGTTTCATGTTGCACTAAAAGGTCAACACATGAAAATGTAGACTGTGAAAACGTTTAAACCCTGTCTTTATATCTCTTTCGTATCAAGGTCTGATCCAATTGTGCCGTGACATTTTGTAAAAGAGAGAGTTTGTAAAACGAACTTTAGAACCAAGTCTGTCTCCGGATAAAAAATATTTATGTATTTTACGCGTTTTTTTCCAGTTTTTTTCATATTATCTATAATTGATAAAATATATTACTGTTTGTTCAGTGAGGTAAAATTGAGGGACTTTTGACTGACTTATTAACGTTTAGCATCATTAAATCTATTTGAAATAGAGTTATATTAGAGTTCATTTAAATTCTGTCATGACTAAATGAGTGTATATACTCTGAATTAGAAAAAACTCTATATATTTATGTTTTTTTTAGTCTTTTATGTACCCCACAATCCGTGACATGATGGTTATTTGCTGGAGCATTTCTTCCAGGGACACATACACACGGAAATAGTTTTACCATAGCGTGCTGCAAAGAACCATTCAGCACAGAACAACCAAACACAAGTAGTTTTCAAGGAACTTTTTTTTAGCTCATAAATCCGTTTTTACATTGAACAAATAACTCTCTTAAAGTAGACAATGAAGGTCGTTTCCGCCTTCATAAAAGAATTCAGTGTGAAATGGTGTACAGTAAGGTTTCTGTTCAAAGTACAGCAATAGAAATGTATTTTTTCCAGTAAATATCAACTTTAATGTCCGCCTTGAAAATGAACTTACAGGAAAGTGTTTCTTGAAATTTTCAAACTTCCTTAGCTATTCTATAAATGTGAAACAATAGTATTCAACAAATGTTTCAGATGTGACCCCATTGTAAAATAATCGCAATGATAAAAGGCAATGGCTCAACACATTCAATGTCCACTTTATAGATTTGAACTATAGATGCTTCACCTAGGTTTTAATCCACAAATTAGTGTTAAAGTATGACACTGTAACAGCAAAATAATCCCTACCAAACAGCAGAAATATTAACAAGCTGACATTAAATTATATTTGTATACACACCCTAAAAGAGCAGTGCTCAATAAAAACTTTTAAAAAATCTAAGTTTGACTGTCAAAACACAACCACTAGGTGGCAATAGAAGGACATGATGAGGAATTAGATATTAGCAGTTTCTTCTCATTTCCATCTAAATTAAATGTGTGCTTTTGTAAATTATGGTTATCTTGCGTCAGGACATATTTTGAGTTCAGTTTATGGTCAATAGATACATTTAGAAGTTTTCATGAATTAAATAGTGACACCATACTGCTCAGAATTACAATTGAACTGTTTAAAAGTGTAAAGGATCAAAATATTTCTGGTATTTAACTGAATGATCATATATTCAAAGGTGCAGATAGTTCTGTGGTATGTGGAAGATGCATGGTTTATATGACCATTTGAAGATTTGAAATGTTCTTAGAATATATCCTGTTTTAAAAGAAAAATGGTCTCACAAACAATATCCACCCTATGCTCTGTGAACATCCTCCTCTGCTGGAGGCCCTTTACAATTTCAGATAACAGATGCTAATTTGTCAAATGATACGGCCTTGCCTGAGTTTCCAGTGTGATTGCGCTTCAAGTCAACTGGGCTGCTTGCATTAAAAATGCTACAGAGAGTCTTCAAAACAAAACAAGGAATTTAAAGATTTTCAAAACTTTAAATCAACGAGTTTCATTTCAGGAAGCCAGAATGAAAGCTAGTGTAGCAGACACTGGATACATTCAGAAGGCAGGGGACATTTTGACGTGTGCGTCATGTATGCATAAGGAATAAGACAACAACGGCAAAAAAGCCAAACAATTTTTAAAGTTTGTTCTGGGTTTGCTCGTCCCTTAACAAATCGAAATGATTCCATTTCATTTCACACAACTGCAGAAGAAAGTATTACAGAATAAAGTATTTCACATCCTTCC